CTTCCTGGGCCCCAGACTGAGGGTGTGCGCTGGTGGCTACATCGAGCAACTCGAGGAGAATATCCACCTCACATGTCGTCGCCCGTACCTTCTTGGAAACCTTGTACTGCTACAGCATTGAGTGCCACCACATGAAATCGAAGGACGTTGGAAAAACTTTCGCCCACTTGGAATGGAAGAACGTTGAGTGCCTGGAAAAGATGGAGTATTTAAGCGGGGGTCCTGAACTAAACCCCCTCAGTTACTCGCTTCGGGCGGAGCTCAACAGGGTGGTCTACAGTGGCGGAGAAATCAACGATCTCGCTCAACTCCGGTACCCACTCACTTTCGCGCGGCCGAATCTCTGGATGGCTCTCCTCCAGAAGGCTATGGCGGAGCATCGTTATAACATTTAATTTGCTCTTTAATATGGTAGTAAAAATGTCCGATAAAAATTTAATAAAGTGTAACTTATAGCGCCTTGAAAGTCATGGAGCAAAAATGACTTTTTTTTGGCTCCAATGACTGCTTACTATCTTTCTATGTAACCGACTGACCAATTAGTCAAGAAGTTTCCATCAATATTCCGGTGTTGGCTCCACTGTAAAATAGTGCAAGTCGTTTCGTTTCGAAACCACCCAAGTTTTTGTGATTAAATGCTGTTATTCGCATTGCTTCGTGAATGTAAGAAACAAACAAATTTTTTCAAAGGTCGTCATGAGACGTGCGTCGAGCGCAACCGTTGACAGCACCGTATTAGGGCTTTTTGCGGACGAACTACTAGCCTTTCGTAACTCATTTCTCTTACAAGGGAGGTCGTTCAGGGCGTGCCCCGCTTTTTCGAAACGGTTTACTGCACTTTGTAGGGCCTTGCATATAAACCATAAAAGTGGGGCTTCGGTTTTGCTGTCGGCTCCAGGAACACCAAAAAAGGAGCGAAGGGTACGTCTATGTACCCCCATATGAGGGACGTTAAGCGCTGTAACTGGCGCCAAATTGCGTCGACGTCGAAAATAAGTGTCAAAATCGCAATCAGGATCATCGACTACCCTTATTTACGAACTTCTAGCCAAAAAAAGTTTTTTTCGATTTTTGTGGGTTTGGTGGACCATTTGTCGCCGTGGTGACCGGAGTATCCCATCTTTGTAAAGACGATGATGGAACGACGACGTAGCAGGCCGCCGGCAGGACAGCAAACCTGGTGGAATGCATCCCTTCCTTTCCACTTTGCATGAATTTTATCGGCAATTATTCATTTTTTGATATTAATAAAAAAAAGGGGTCCTATGGCGGGCACTGTAAGACTTCTATGGAAAGACTGTCGGGCACAACCCAACGCACACACCCAAAAAGTCGAAAAAAATTTTTTGGCTGAAAGATTGTTTACAGGGGTAATCGATGGCCCCGATCATATTTTTCACACTTATTTTCGGCGCCGACGTAACTTGGCGCTTGGGTAGCGCTACACATCCCTTACTTGTGTGTAGCAAACGCATTCATGTGAAGAAACATGTCACTCCACATTAGCGATAAATGGCACCGTAGTACAAATAAGTTCCATATTCGTGATTCGGGCATGGTCTGACCTATAAAGGTCAACTTTCAATTACGGTCTTGCTTAATGTATGTAAAACCTGTAACAATTGAGTAGCACTGATTCATTGAGTGTTCCCATTTAAAATGTGCCCATAAATGGCAGTTATCGAACGCATACTCACGCACAGACATAGTTGAACGCGAAAACAGCAAAACATAAAAAATGCAAAAACTCTCGCGCTGAGGGGAGTCGAACCATCAACCCCACCCCAACTGTCCGCTTGAGATTCCTTCACGCTATCCACTAGGCCATCTGATCGTTGGTGCTGACCACTCCTCCGATCGTTGAAGAAACCATTCCATGAAGCCGTTCTCTCTTGATCACGTGCCACAAGTAAGACCCCATACCCCGACTACTTCTCTCTTCGATTCCGATAGTACCTTTATAGGGTCCCTCCATTCATCAACTGGTCAAAGTTTCAAACGGTTTACAGCTCGTAGAGGCTCAAAAACAATCAGTTTCCATAGGTTTCTTTTTCGCCCCTTTTTTGGCGTTCCTGGAGCCGCACAGCAAAAACGAAGCCCACTTTTATGTTTATAGGCAAGGCCCTACAGAGTGCAATAAACCGTTTCGAAAAAGCGGGGCACGCCCTGAGCGACCTTCCTGGTTAGTCCCTTTTATCTCCCACTTCTCACCACACACGTACAGTCCTCATCATTGCGGACCGGTGGGGCGTGTCAGCCCGTATGAGTGTGCACACTGTTGAAGCCGTTCTAGGCCTTTTTGTTGAAACGCGTATGCGACAAAAAGTGGTAGAAAACGAGTAATATGAAGGATATAATACAGTCATATCATTCGCTCGCTTTAAATACTGGTGGAGAGCGGGTTTGGCACAGCGCCAAACGCAGCCACATTGAACCGCCCCGACAGTACGTAACGGTGAGGCTGTATCTTGCCTGGAGTTTAGCTGAATATTCGATAGCTGTCGAATTTGTCAGAATGTCCACCGCGCTGGAGTGCTGCGTTACTCTACCTTCTGGGCAGGGCACGTTCTGCTGTTAAACTGAATCCGCGGAATGCCATCGCTTCCCACCCCCCCCCCCTTTAGCAACCAATTGCGAGTCCCTCGCTGGGGATCCCGCGCGAGCGCAGGTCTGCAAAAAAGGGCGCACGGCCCTCACTCAGTAAGGCGCGTCCCTGGCTCATCGCTATCAGTCACGGAGTCACGGAGTCAAGAGGCATGGAATAAGCCCACCGAAGGTTTTTTCACCACCGGATGTTTTCTTTCTAAATCAGTCACAAGTCAGTCATTATTGGTAGAGAGGGAGCAGGAGGCAAGCTCATCCGCCTTTCCTAGCAGCGCCCGGACTGATCGCTACGAGACCAGTTATATCTCCTGTACTGCTACAACGCTAAACAACTATTTTAGATGGCTCATCGGGATCTTCCCTCCCAACCCCCTTCCATCTCCCCGACGATCCAGTCCTTTATCACTTTTATGCCACTCCCCGTCATTATTTCTCCTTCAAAACCATTCCACGAAATGATCAGTTTTTTGCAAATTGGCCTCGCTTCGAATGAAATCATGACTTCTTGTGATAATAGAACCAGTCGAAACCACTTTGTTCACTAAAGGTCGCCGTTCATCAAAGATCAATTCACTTGTGCCTGCCTGTCGCAGTTTTGAAAGCCAATAAATGATGTACGACAAAATGGAACTGTCGCATTTTTTGGCTTGGGTGGATTTTGCATGTTCGCTGGTTCCTTTTGCTCGTTCACGTCAACTGGGGAAACTTATAAACTCTTGTGAAACAGCAAAATGGTACAAGGAAGCTGCATTGGATGCATAAACTTACGAGATTCATCCTACCGTCTGGTACCCCCACTGGGCCGCACTGAGCCCATTTTTTCTCTATTGTTTCCATATTCAATCGCGATTTCGCGAGAACATCTTTACCCCCTCAATCGTCGCTCTAATCCTTTAAATTGCTCTTATTCGAAGGGCTGATTTTCTGATCGTTTAGGGATTGTTGTTATAGAGAAGAAAAAATTTGGAAGGTAGCCTTTTTTCTTGGCAACCAGCACCTCCTGGGAAAGGTGGAAGAATGCCTACTCGGCTAAAAAGGGGCTAAACAAGTCTATAAATAGATAACCGGCGTTGCCGTGGATAGGAACGAGCATCCTATCCTACTATATATAAACGGCAACCTCTGCCTGTTTGTCTGTCTGTCCGGAAATTCAGAATCACCTGAAGAGCCAATTCAGGGGGGCGGATCAAGGGTGGGTTGGGTAGGCGCATGGCCAAGATGTACGGAACACACATGAACTGAGCTAAGCCCCGCCTACTGTGGGCGGGCGTGCGCCACAGTTGTGAACTACATCAAAAATTCCTAGTTCGGTTCTAGAAGATCCCGGATAGCGAAATTGTGGGAAACGATAAAGCAGTCACTTGGCGGATGAAATGAGGGAGTCACACTCGTGGTGGGCGGGGCGTGCATAGGGGGGGGGTGCTCGCTTACAAAACTTTCAAAAATTCGAAATTCGGTTCTAGAGGATCCCGGAGACAGAAATTGTGGGGAAACGAGATGGTGGTGGACGAAAATGAAGCATAGCCGCGATGGCCAGGGCGTTCGCCGAAATGAACGGTGCCGGGACAAATACCCTTAAAAACACATCCGAAAAACTCCAGGAAATGGGGAGTATGTGAAACTGAGCAATGGTTGGCAGATGAAGTTAGTGGCGGGCAACTGTAGGGTGTGAAACTGAGGGTTCGGCAGATGAAGTTAGTGGAGGAGAACGTAGGAGAGTATATCAAATGGTTGGTGGGGAGGGCCAGTCGGATGTGTCCGGGTGAAGTGGGTCCCAGTGAGAAGTTTTCCACGAGAGGGAGGGCTAGTCGGATCGGCCGGCCGAATGGTCGCGAAAAAATTATTTTGAGAATTACCGCACTTTACCGCTTCACTGCTTGTATATACCCCCCCTCCCCCACCCCTAGACAGTCCTCAAAATTTTCTTATTACAGCACTCCTGACACTGATGAGGAAGCGCAGAATAAACGGCACCTACCATTTGGTATACCCCCACGGTTATCCCCCCACTAACTTCATCTGCCCAAGCAGTGCTCAGTTTCAAATACTCCCAATTTCCTGGAGTTTTTCGGATGTGTCTTGAGGGTTTTTGTCTCCGGCACCGTTTCATTTTCGGCGAACGCCTAGCCCATCGCGGCTGCGCTTCATTCATTTCGTCCGCCAAACAGTTTGCCTATCGTTTCTCACAATTTCCGGATCTTTCTAGAATCGAAATTTGCGAATTTTGGAAGTTATTCTAGCGAGCACGGGCCACCTATAGCACTCCCCGCCCACCACGGGTGTGACTCCCGCAATTGTTCGCCAAGTGCCTTGCCTTATCGTTTTCCACAATTTCCGCTCTCCGCGGCCTTCTAGAACCGAATTACGAATGTTTTGAAAGTTTATAGCGAGGCACCTTATATTTGAACATTACCTGTTTTTTTCGATATCAGGACATAACCGAATGAACGGTGATAGAGCATAAGAGCGCTAGACTTTCTGAATCGACTGCCAATTCTTTCAATAAACTCCTCATCAGTGGCATTGTCTTCATGATTTCGAACCAGAGCTGCCATTCCTGCCCGACCTTCTCGTCCTAAACTTTTAAGGTTTCACTACACATGACCCACTAGTTTAGTCTATCAGGTTCTCTGTTGTGGCTCACCAGGTACGGTCACTCCATAGACAGTCGCATCAGTCACTCCTTTCTGTGGATGCAGTATAGCCTCGACTTCAGTAGTGCTGACAATCTCGCCTTTCATCGAAATGTGTCACCAGTACGATCTTTGAAGTGGCAGATAGCCCAGCCGATCCCAGTAGAACAGATCTCCTTCAATTTAAGAGAATATATTAGGCAAACCAGGGCACATCAATTGATGGTGATTTAGGTAAAGTACGTACGACTTCGCCCTGTTTTTGAGGGCTAGTACCACCTCCACCCCCCCCCAACCCTCTATTCTTCCTTAACGAGAAAGACGGCGAGAAAAATGCGATCCCCTCCCTTCTGCCAATTCTCAGATTTTCCCCAGCTTCTTGCCACTTTTCCCCAATTCCCGAAACTTTGCCGAACTTTTTCCAAGAATGTTACCGTCGAGCGAGGAAGGAGATGGTGTACATAGTGCACATGAAACTGGCAAAATCACGAACAGTCACCAGAACCACCTCTCCCACAAGGCGAAAAAGTAAATAGGTCTCCCCTCCCTTTTATACATCGTCCGTGAAACAAGAGAAATCAATTATCAAAACAGACGTTGCTTAGCCCAAACACGACCCCCCCCCCTTCTCCCGGCGACCAAATACGACTCTCCCTTGTAGGGGATTCCCCAGCCCTGCTTGAAGGGTACTGCTGAACTTGCAGAAATATCCACAAACCTGACACAAAACAACTGTCGCCTTTCCTAAGCACATAGTGTATGATTTTCTTATTCGTCTCAGATTTATTCAGATAACCATCAAATTGTAGCAAAGCGTTGTTCTTTGTAATTGTAGATACCATAACTCCGCTCTCACCTACAAAGGGCGGAAATTTATAGTAATAACGGTTGGAATGCAAATATATAATGAAAAACGGAATAACAAAACGGTCAAAGTTGATCATTCTCTTCCCGGGATGCACTAGTGTCAACAGCATTTATACAGCCACCTTATGTAGTCTTATTCGCTGCGCACCCTGGGACATGTTAAGGGGGGGGGGGCGCTGGGTTTGGTGCAGAGCAGACGCGTTCCCCCATTTGTTGTCGCTCTACCTTTTTCAAGAAGTGGGGAAGAGCCGCCCCCTGTTCCTACTGCTTCCATCTTGCTTCTGCCGGTCGAGGATTTCGTAGGATGCTTACTCATCGAACGCGTCACAACAACTGAACCATACTCCTAGCTGGGAGGAAGTAAATGTACGAATGGTAAACAACATTGATATCGTGGTAGAGGTAAACAAGTGAGGTTTACTGTGTAGGATACAGAAACTCCCAGCAGGACAAGAAAGAAGAGCTAGAGGGGTAGGAAGCTAGATAGCTGCACACAAAGTATCACTAGAATTTTATATGGAGATCTTTGTCTTCGTTATCGGTATTCTTGGTTTAGCGGTGATGTTGCGTTTTCGATTTCGTGACAGTTGCATGACTGAATCTTTCCTTGTTTCCACGTGCATGGCTCGATGGAGACGGTTCTGGATTGATGAAGCAGTGCTTCTTTGATGGAGCAGGAGATTTCACAGCAGAGTGTTCGCTTTTCGGCTTCTTCCGACGCTTTGCATGAATTGTGTTCTTCTATAAGGCATAGGACTTCGCATTCAGTTTCTCCTTTTGGCTTCAGCGAACTGTTTCTCAGGTGATTCGATGACCTTAGATTTGGTCAGTGGTTTCGTAATGAAGGTTTCCTTCTTCATCTCCATCCTTGATGTGGCTTCATATTTTGGTTCTTCTTTTGCTTTTGCTTGGTTTTTTGATCCACTTTTCGCTCTTTGGCTCGGTGTGAAGGCTCCTTACTGCGCGTTCGCTTTCCGTCGTTGTTTCGCGTTTCTTAATTGAATTTCCCGCCTTTGAATTCATGAGAAGCTCAGCGATAGGTCTTGTCTTCATTGAACAAGTTTCCTTGCTGATTCATTTCTTTTTGAGCTTGAGAACGGTCTCAGCAAACCTTCCTTCTTCGTAAGAGTGGCTTTTTTATCAGTTACTATAGAAAAGTTGTCGGGCAAATGAGATAGATTGGATTCAGATCGAACGTGGACAATGTGTCGCTGATCGCTCTGATCGCTAGTGCTATTGAAGAATTGGAGAAAAACGTCATCATCATCCTCTTAAGCTGAGTCGTCGATTATTTCGTTATCGTCCGATTTCCATAAGTTATGGACAAGGTTGGACAGGCCGTCTTGGTGCAATGGTTTGGAGCGCTTGTCGTTTGCGCAAGGGGTGGTATGGATGGCTACAGTTTCGAGGTTGAAGGCGCTTCCAACAATAACATTGCCAAGAGTGGTGTGAAGTGAACGGTAACCGTTCGGAAGTATCTCGAAGTAGAAATCGTCAGGGAGCACCATATCTCAGAAATAGTCGTTGCCGATCAATAGAGAAGGTTTACTTGAGGATATTGTGACATGGTCACTTTGCGAGTCGGGAATCGTATGCGCGTGTCTCAAGCGTCCAGTCAGAATGGGCAACGATTCCAGATGAAGTTGCTTGTTTGAGTTCTCTGTGCAAATTCCGATGATGTGGCTATGAGCTTTCAGTTGCAGAGGCGTAGTCGTACCGAAAGTTGATACGGTAATATGTTCTGACGATAGACTTGGGAGACCAAGTCTCTCCACTACGTCGTCTGAGATGTGCGATTGGCTGGAACCTGAGTCAAGGATTGCTGTCACGATCGTAGCTCTCGAGGTATCTAATGGGTTGAAAAGGCGTACCAGGGTATACATCAGCGTCGCTTGTGTAGGCAATCTCTCTATTGTTGTAGATGAGATACTGCGAGTGATATATATTGTGTCACTTTTTGCCGAATGACGGGTGGGGTCGGTCTCATTCGTCTGTGTAATTATATGTTGGTGGGTTTTATTCTGGTGAGTTATAGAATGATGAGGTGGGGCTCTTCCTTTTAGACATCCTCCTTCGTGATTTATCCGTGCGGAGCATAAGGATGAATTTGGCGCCTTGCGCAAAAGTTGCAGGACTGCTTGGAGCGACAGTCCTTCATTGTGTGCCTACTAGATAGACAGTTGTAGCAAAGGTGCAACTCTTTAGCTTGACGGCTTCGCTCACTTGCTGTCGGGAATGCATCACACGTGAACGAACGGTGGTTAGGGTTTTGACAACGAGAACACATCTCTTCCTTGACATCAGGTCTGTGGGTGATCTTTGTGATTTTGATCGAGATACGGCGTGAAATCCGTCGGTAGGAGAATAGAAAGGTGAATAATGGTTTGAGTGAGCATGATAGTCCATCTCGAAGAATGTAGCTTCCTTACGTACTACGTCGGTAAGTAAGTGAAGCAGTTCACTTGGTGAGAGATTATGACTATTCGACGTCTTGTCATGGACTTGACTTCTCACTTTGGCAGGTAGATTGTTGAGGAGAATCGCTCCCAAACCTGTTTCAGAAGAATCGTCCTGTCCATCGGTGAACTGTCGAACCAATGCGAACATTTGATTGTATAAAGTCTGCAGGTTGCGTCCTTCTTGATCACATTTAGGTAACTGGGACAACTTTGTGTAGAGGATGTGTTTCATGGTAACCTTGTCATCGTAATGAGTTGCTAGGATATTCGAGGCGATCTTGTAGTTCCATAGTGTCATTGAGAGGCCTTGAATAGATTGCAGAGCGCGACCGCGGAGGCAAGGTTTGAGCAGAGAAAATTTTGTTGTGTCATCAAGTTGGGTTTTGCTTCCTACTAACGTCGAAAACCTCGCAGAGAATTCTGGATAGTCGAGAATGTTACCATCGAATGTGGGAAGCTCCAACTTACTGAGGATGGACGCGTCGACGAAGTTTACTGCTGAGTTGCTTCTCTGATCGTATATCTTCCGTTCTTGGTCCGTGGGTAGAATGCCGTGCTCGCCGCTTGTTCCTACTGCTTCTATCTTGCTTCTGCCAGTCGAGGGTTTTGATGTTTATTCATCAAACGCGTAACAACAACTGAACCATACTCCTAGCTAAATGTACAAATGGTAAATAACATTGATATCGTGGAAGAGGTGAACAAGTGAGGTTCATTGTGTGGGATACAAAAATCCCCCCCCCCTCTAGTTAACGGTTGTAGATGCCTTTTGTTCCATCTGATAAATTCTTCTGGGCACACCAGGTTGTTAGATGGATCTACATCATGGCCAGATGTTTCGGCCAGATCGTTTTTATTAGAGGCCCAGTCTACCACAGCGAGAGCGGCTCTCCGAGGACCGCTGAGATGCTCCATAGGGTGCTCTCCGACCCTCAACAAGACCCCTTTTCACGCAGTCCTCGAAAAGGATGGAATAAAGTTTTTCAAGGTCTCCGAATCCAACTGAAATTCATTTCGAGCGGTCTGTGAGGCAGAATAGAATCCCCTTTGCAAAAGCACCGAATGAGAGACTACGGATGGAAACGACGTCAGGGGCGGGGGGGGGGTGTCTTCTGCGAGCCCGGATATGACCAGCAGCCCTAGCAAGCGCGTTCTTCGCAGTTTTCTTTTCGCTTTTCGTCATTATTCTGCTTTATACTATGTTACTATTTTTCAGCAAGTGCCATATCATAGCGCCTTATGCCTTCAATATTTTCCTCGACCAGATATTGCTCTGTAGAACGCTTCAAAAAGTTCCTTCACCTGGATTACAAGTCACACAGAGCCCAGACTGCGATCGTACCACTTCGCCGCTTTTGTCGTCTACCCGATTAATCGTAGTGGATAAAACATCTTGTAAAAGGATATGAAGGAATTCACATGCACCAACATATCAATCAATATTCACTGTAAATGTAAAAAGTTGACTTCGACGCAAAACAGGGAATAAACGATGTAGGGCCGGGTACTGTAAACGTACCAAGATTCGAAGTGCCTTCAGTAGCACCATAGACTTCCGCCAATTTTCACTCGGAATCGGTCCACAAATTGTTGCCATATTTCGCACGAGACCGTTCCCATAGAGAGAATGCCATTTGAAGCCTCCTTCCGGGAACAACTGGGTGGACTATCAAATAAGGGCATAGTTCGCCGATATATTGTGAAGCCTAGAAATGATCATAAGAGCATCTTAGTGGTAATCAGACACGTAATACATGAATTACTTGTCAAATGCTCCTTGAGCTCTTACCGTACAATGATATTTTACACAATCCTTCCAGAAGTTACTGGCTGAAAATCGCTTCCGAATCAGCCAGGACGAGCCGCGACAGATCGCCTGACCCACTCCTGGAATTTCGCCATCACACACAATGTCGACTAGTATTATTTAAAACCAGGCACATCCTCATCAAAGACTGTGGGGGAGGAAAATTGCTTCCCCCCCCCGCCACAGATCTATTCTGCACTTGGGATCTCTGCTTTGGTATGGCTCCCTTTCCCGCACGCCGGTTTCTCCCCTCAAAAGTAGGGAAACGGGCTGGAGGGTGACCATACCAGAGTGCCTTCTCAATACTCAACTGATGCTGCCACGGCCCGAATAAGCACGCCCTACGGGCCCCTGGAATCGACGCTAGGGCTGGACCTTCAGGATGACATGCTATTCGTCTGCGCCCTCTGTTTTATGGTTATTCTCCACCACTGACAATGAGTGCATGCTTCGCTCCGAGATCGTAGTATCACAGCAAATGCTGGACCTTGAAAATGGCGCGGCGGAATCGGAAGACGCACCTGAGTATCACTGCCGTCTAGCCCCGCTCCTGTGCACTTTTGGCCAAGGAAAGTGGCAGACTAATGCTGGTAACTCCTTCAGTTCGCGCATCTTTAATCCGAAACTTTGCCTTCAAATGGCTGGAAACGAAGAGACATCTGCGATCGTTAGAACTAGCAACTTCGCAACTTCAAGGGAGTAGATGGACCGAAACGGGGAAAGAACAGCCACAATTTTTTTCATGCGACAACCTCCCTCAGTCGCTGAGTTAAATCCCCCCCCCCGTTGTGTTTCACACATTATGTACTTTACGTGAACCACCGAATAACATCACATCTCGAACGCAGCGCATTGTTCCACAATGGTTATAAATAAAAGGCCAATTCAGTCTCGGGAAGCTCTCATAACGTAGGCATCAGGAAACGCGATCAAAGAACAACTTTCTCCCACCTAGAATACCGGCTGCAGTGTGATAAATTGTTATCGACCCATAAATTCTGTATGATGGCTGTAAACCGAACGATCTGGCTGTTCCAACCACCATCGAGTAGTACCTGTATAGCGTATTAATATTTCACAAATTTTATTTCAAACAAATATATAATTCAGGTAACAGGGGACGTCTTCAATTGAAAAAGATAGGCGGCACAGTCTGGCGACGGGGGGGGGGGGACATTTTGCACTTTCGCTGCTCTACTAGTTCCGGTTTACAGTCTCTTCCTGGTGAAACATGTGAACTTTTGTAAAGCTGGAACAAGCTCGTCTAGCCATTATGGTAAAACCTGTGAACTCGAGAAAACTCCCTAGATGGGTGAACACCTTCATGGGAAGTAGCAAAAGTACAAAAAAAAGATGGGTGGACACCTTCATGGGAAGTAGCAAAAGTACAAAAAAAAACAGAATACATTCCTCCCCGTAGTCGAACTGCACCCGATAGGGGATATCAGTGCTTCCTGGGGTAGGGAGGGATGGATAGTGTGGCTAGCGCTGACCCAGCTTCAAGAACCCCTTCCAGTTTCTCCAGGTCAACCAAGCATTTCAACCGTCAAAATCTATAATCTGGTCTAGATTTCTGGGAGGAACACTGAATTTTACACTGGCTAATCGAGAAACTACAGTATGGAAGAATTAAATGACTGTCGACTGCATTTCTTCCTTGCCCAGCTGGATCTTCTAGGACTCTAGGTCCTCACTGATACGAGTGAGGTCAACCTCGAAGTTTTCAACGGGTGGGAGCAGGCGGACCCTCGTTCAAAACCGGAGCTTGAAATTTTGAAATTTTGGGCAGTTCGCGACGGGGAGAGGCATTCTCATTCTGCTACTTCTCATCGACGCGACGATCCATTTGGAGAGCCATTTTAGGAGCTCACAAAAGTGACAGGTTCTATCATGATGACTAGACGAACTTGCTCCAGATTTACCAGAGTGCTTAGATTTAAGTGTAGTGAGACTTGTAAACCGGATCTAGTGAAGCAGCAAAAGTGCGAAATGCCCCCCCCTCGCCGTTGCCGAACCACGCTGAGCAGTCCTTTACGCTTCTTCTGACCAAATGGTACTCAGCGAAGCTTGCACAGGCCCCCTTGCGAAGGCTCGTGATTCCCTGTAGCCAAAGTGGCTCGCTTGTGCCATTTCCAGCTCCACAAAAGTTCTCAGATTTGTCAACTAGAATTTACAAGAAGAACTGAGAGTGCAGAGCGTTCTTGAGCATTACAGCGACCATCCCTTCCTCTAGACATTACTAGGTCGCGTTAGGATTGCATGTGATGGTCAACGGACTGTTTGACGTAACGTTCGCGACAAGGAAGATTGCGAGACCTAATAAGGAGTATCAAACAAGCACCTCACCGGTAATGCCTGATGACTGCAGCCCTTTGGCAGGCCAGTCGTACCACGTGTGTAAATATAGCACAGAACACCTGCAAGACAGATCTAAATTTCAATCGGATCATCGGATCTCGGATCTCCTAGAAAATTTTAAAGCATGTACCTGAAAGTAGCCGTGGTCTTAGTGTAGGGCTTGGTTGGAAAAGGTATTGTATCCCGCCTGGTCAAGCTTTTTTCACGGCTTTATGAATTCATACGCCCATATTCCCATTACCTTGCCTTAACTGCTGACGCACACTGTTTGTTTTACCCACTACATTCCTAAAATTTCATTGCGGCTGCTCTCGTAGCCTCCTCCCCCCCCCCCTAGCACCTGCGATACCTCCAACACTGCGCTTCAAGAGTACAGGTTCGGTTCATGACTCCACCATCTGTGCAGAAGCTTATCATTGAACGACCGAGTCAGGGCACGTTCACACTTTGCAAAGTGAGCGTCAGCAACGTGTCCGTTTGTCCCTGGGGCCAGTTCGGCGACGTGGAAGGGAGGGGTAAGGGGTAGGACATTTCATACTATTCCTACTTCTCATTCACGTGTAGACCAATCTAGAGAACCTTTTCTTGGGTTAACAGGTTCAATATAATGGTTCGATGAGCTTGTTCCGGCTTCACAAAACTTCACAGGTTTTATCAGTGTGAGACCTGTGAACCGGAACTAGGGAAGCACTGAAGTGCTGAATTCCCCTCCCCCTCTGTCGATCGTCCCTGCAACCCGCTAGAGTCATTCAATTGGTTCTCTGTGCTTGAGGAACACAATCAGACCATACCAGTCATCACTGACATTCCCTTTTCACATGATATTCTGCTACGCATGAAATTTCGACTATGGAGCTGAAGAAACAACTCCACACGCCTCAAGAACCAACGCCTTTATCCAACAGAGGAACATCGAAGTTCCTTATTCGGTACGAGTTTTATGATCGCTGCGATCTCACAAGTTCCACCTTTGCAGTTCCACCTTCTCATGATAAGTGTTCCAAAATTACGCAGTCTACTACTCAGGAAAAAACCCATCTTCCGGTTGCCACGCATACTTTGCACCACTCGACCCCTTGCCAACTACTATAGTATCTATTGACGTTCCGGGTTTAGTAGCTCACGGAAAATTCATGTAATTACGTAACCACTCCCAACTTCAATAATGACTTTGTTTATCTATCAAAACTAGTTTTAACTGAAGTTCTTACCGCTGCTATAAAGTTACTTTTACTGACCTTGGCATATGATCGGGCACGAGCGAGGGCAAAAAAAAACAACAAAGTGACTAATTTGAAAAATGAGTGGATAGACGAGTAGGAATAGAAAAATGACTCATGCTTCCTACGATAAAAAGCCTCTCATTACAACACAAACAGGTAATTTCGTCAATTTGGTGGGTGGATGGAAAGGTGAAGATATTAAATGCTAAAATTCCGTGAAAATGCGAGTTATGCCAATATTTCAACAATATGAAAAAATTTGCCGCTCGTTCACTCGCCAACAGCGGCTTTTCGCGAAGTATGGAGGCTTTCTCAGGCACAGTCTCAATACTCACTCCTGTGGGTCCTGGTCCGTGAAGTAGTCCGCAGCTGCAGTAGCGCGCCATCGTTTCTCCTACGGGAGAGGAGCTGGAGAGTAGTGTACTCGTGTGCCGCTGGGGACTCCTCTTGCGCGGCGCACTGCCAGCTACACGCCAAACCGTAGCCGTACAAACCGTAGCACATGTAAGTTTGCAGGATTTGGTATGCTGACAAGCGCTTACAGGTATGCCCCCCCCCAAGATACTATCGTTGTTGCTCATACCGCTCTCCAAGTGATTTAGTATCTTAACCTAAAGTCAAACAACTGAACTACTTTAACTTGAGTTTCCTTTTTTCGGGTAGATTAGGGCCGGCTCTGTGGTCGATCTTGTTCGGCGCAGGTCGGCGATGGGGGAGGGAGGGGGAGGACATTTTGCAATTTTGCTGCTTCACTAGTTCTGGTTTACGGTGCCATTGTGGTGAAACCTGTAAACTCTTGTTAGCAAATTCGTCTAACCAGGCAAAACCTGTCAACTCTTGTACTCAGGAAATGGCTCTCTAAATGGGCCGACACGCCGATGGGAAGAGCAAAAAGGTGAATGTCCTCCCCCCCGGTCACCAAACTGCCCCAATGTCCTATACTCCAGATGGACATATGATCTTTTTTCATAATGTTCGCGATTAATGAATTTCTGGTCTCTGAATTGGGAGAAAACATAAAGAAACGGAGCAGTTTTGATGGAGCTCTCCGAGGAAAGACTACAAGGAAAACGGGAACCTGAAGAGAAAAGTCAATTTTCTGAACTCACTTTTGAAATCAACCACATCCAACTGCCGTGGTTCGACTGCTCGCTGATCTTTCAACTTGTTGGTCAAAGGGACGAAACGAGAGCTATTTTCAGGTTGGCCGATGACATATAACGCTAAATCGTCACAATCGAGCAGTTTATCCGCTATCGCTTCATGAGGTACTTAAAGGCTGAGCCCGCATTCAAATTTGATGAGTTATGCGGCTCAAATACTTATAAAAAGGTAGCAAGTAACTAAGACTACTAGAGGTACATTAGTAAAGAAAAATCAAAAAGAAATCATAGGAAAGGCTCTATCTAGAACCCCTTGCTTAACTGAGGTTGTACGTGCTCAAGGCGAAGACAAGGTGCGATCGCACGAGTTCTCACTTGTTGATATCAGCTTTTTTCCCTTATCACCTCACTATCACCACTCGACGTGGAGAAGCAGCAGCGAAACAACCGCATCATCAGAAAACCATTAGGAATGAGTAGAGGGCCGTGCCAATGATTGTAGGCTGGGCCAATGAGAAGAACGACGGCATCGTGACTCTCCTCACGCGTTTTTGCGCCGCGAAATTGGTGTAGTTGTTGCCTCAGAGGACCTGACTACCTGCTCACGAAGGGAGATGAAAATCTTAACTGAACGTGGACGCTGCCTTTGAAAGCAGGCTACTGATTAGTTTTCGAATTCTTCAACATTGCCCTGAGATAAACAGATCAGCTCTCATGACGCTAACATATGTGAGGAATAGGAAGGAAGGGGGGGGGGGGAATGGTGGAGCCTTTCACTGCGTCTTATGGTCCTTTTCCCCAACCGCGGCTCATACGTATGGCGAGTGCGGAGCTGTGCTTTCCAATCGCTGAGTCTGCGTTCATACTTTACGGCAGCGTCCATCAGCGACCTACAGCGTCCACCAGCGACCTTCGGCTCAAACTAGCGTCCACTCGTCCAAGTTTGTTCCAAGTATACTTATTCCAGCTATGCTTATGCTCCCACGCAGAGGTAGTGGAATGGTTCAAGTTCTTCGCATTGGCTGCCTTCGAGAGCAGATGTGTTTGTAGCATTTGCGGAGGTCCATGGCCAACCTACGAACTTGCTTACAGTCTTGCCCGTTGCGGATGATGAGGCTTGTCCGCCCAATCATCCGCAAACGGCAAGCGCACACTGCCGGATACGTGCTCCGTCAATTGCTGGGTGAGTCCGATGAAGGAGACCAGCTGCTAGAAAACGTCTATACAAACGATATGCTAGGTTGGCGTGACATTTTAGCATGGCACAAAACTAGGTTACTAACTTGGTTACTCGTGGAGTATTCCAGTCTGGGACAACTGTCATCTTGTTCGGTGTTGGACAGAGACACGACACCAATTGT